TTCAAACCCTAATTTGCATTTTGTGATTTCTTGGTGAACAAGTTTCATGATTTGGCAAGTTTTGATGAAAAATGAATCTTGACTCTTGATTTTGACCAAAAAGTCAAAGTTTGACTTTTCAGTGTACAGTCAAAATTGATCAATTGACTGGGAAATTCAACTGTCAATCTTGTGTACTTGGGATCTTTTGAGTTTGATGAACATGTCAAGATAATTCCATGGGGTCCTTGAGTCCATATGTGAGCTTGGTTTGCCATTGGCTAGGTCAAACAGTCAAAAATTGCCTTTGTGCAGTCAAAACCCTAAAAATGACCATTTTGCCCTTTTGGTGATCTGATCAAATTTCTTGTGGAACTGTGATCCAAACTTGATCAAATGGTTCATGTGAGTTCATAATGTTGATGTGGATCAAATTTCATGAGGTTTGACTGTCAATTGGCCACAGTTGACTTTTTCCCCAATACAGCTGATTTCTAGGTCAGCTGTCCAATTGACTGGGCAAAACTTGGAATCAAGACTTGAAATTTGGTATGGGTAAACTTGGGAGTCCAACATGAAGCATGAAAGTCATCTTAGGCATTTTAGGTCAAAACATCCTTGGGCAAACACAAACCCTAATTTGAGTCCACAGTGCAAGGAGAAGTCTTGAGCAGAGGAAACCCTAATTGGATCTTGATCTTCAAAGGTCTTGTGATGAGAAAATGTTGAGGAAATGGGAGGGCAAATTTTGGGGTACAACAGACAGAATTCATTATAAAGTGTAGCAGGTGTAAGAAAGCAGGACACAATAAGCTCATTTGCAAGGTACCATCTACTAGTCAAGCATCTCATCCAACTCAAGCATCTCAGTCAGCTCAAGTATCTCAGCCAGCTCAAGCATCTCAGCCAGCTCAAGCATCTCAGCCAGCTCAAGCATCCCAGCCAGCTCAAGCATCTTAGCCAGCTCAAGCATCTCAGCCAACACAAGCATCTCAGTCAGCTCAAGCATCCCATCCAGCTCAAGCATCTCAGCCAGCTCAAGCATCCCAACCAGCTCAGGCATCTCAGCCAACTACTTCTCAATCACCCAAGAAAGTGAATTCCAAATCCAAAAAGTTGCAAGTTAGAAGGCTAAATGCACCTTTTGTCCCACCTAGTCTAACAACTAGGTTGAATGCATCTAAAACTGTTGTAGGTCCAATAACAAGAAGGACGACACCTATTAAAAGAGTTGCAACAAAATGGAAAGCTTAGATTAATGTTTTTATTGTAATAGTTCTGTTAGGTTATGTTAACTTTAATTAAGATATTTTAAAGTGTTTTGAACCTGTACTGTCTAGTACTGTTTTGGACCTGTCATATCAGGTTTCTTGGACATGTAAAGTATGGTTTTTGGATATGTAATAGTAGTGTTTTTGGACCTGTAATATCAGGTTTTTTGAACATGAAAATTATGAATATTAGTGGTATCCACCACCTTATGTATTGTTGTTGACTTATTCAGTTGATTTTATATCTTATGTTATGATTTCATTCAAAATGTTACACCAGTTACTGGAATTTACAAAATTCATCAAAAATACAGTTCCAAAATTACACCAGTTTCATACAATTCCAAAATTCATACAGTTGCATACTGGAATTTACACCAGTTCCAAAATTCATTATAAAATGTTATAAATAAAACACAAATTCATCAATTAACAACATCATCTTCTTTTCAAATGATATTACAAACGATACTGGAATTTACAACATCACCCAAATGACAAAAATTAACAACATACAAAACATTCTTTTCCATTTTTTTTTGGAATTCATCATTTTCTTCATTTAAATTTGTAACCCCCTTATCTTTTGTTTCAGTCCATCATTTTGTTCCTTTAAAGACAGTATCTCCATTTTTGCTGCATCAAGGTCATTTTGAAGCTTTTCCAACATACTATTTTGCTTCTTTATAAACTGCTCTTTCTCATCCACAACATCATCATAGAACCATTGAAAGTATCCACATTCAGTTTCAGACGAACCCTGTGTCATTCCAAATTTGGATAGATCAGAAAAAATAATATGAATAAGCCATTTAATTTCTTTCTTACCTTATAAAGACGACAACCCCAAAATTGCTTCCTAAAATTCATGTGAGTTGAAGCCCTTCGAAGAACAGTCGTGTCTCCACAGTCACATATGGGTTTCCATCGCAAATTTTCATCTAAACATCCACCGCTGTTGACCTTCGAATCATATGAACACTGACCTGAGTACGCTAATGATGATTGCTTCATTTTCCTCAAGCAATTACAGAATCATAAGGGGGAGAAAATTGTTGAACCGTAGAATTTGGGGGAGTCTGGGGGTAGAAGAGAAAGAAATGGACGATGCAGACTTGAAGAGAACGAAGAAAATGACATAACATTTCACATCAGCTGCCACGCATACAAAACAAACGTGTGTTTGTGCCTTTTGGACGGAAAGGACTACTGTGGTCTTTTTTGAACAATTAAAGGACCACTTTAGAACTTTTTAAAGATAAGAGACTAGAATTGACCCAGAAGTAAAGTTAAGAGACTAAAAATGGTATTTTGCCTAATTGTTATTATAAAATCACTAATAAATGTAAATATTTAAAAATAAATATGTACCAAATCACCAACATGATAAATTCAATATGTCTGATAACTATAAATATTTACACATATCAATAATAATTATAAATATTTAAAAATATTTTGTTGATTAAAATATAACAAAAAAAATACTATGGTGAGTATCCCATGAAAATAAAAATTTTAGTGATAAAATTCACAGAAGATGATATTTAAAATTCCAATATAATTTGATACGATATACAATATATTTAATTATACATATAGATTTAAAATTAATTGTATGAAATAATCTTATAAATTTAAAATTAATATTCAGTATTTTATATGTATGTCAGTTAAACTTTAAAAAGAAAAAGAAAAAACTCATTTTATGGAAAAGAGACTCAAATTTGTATACAAGTTATTGAGTGATTAATAATTACTGATAAATAAGCATATTTGGTAAAATATGCAGCGAAGCTAATAGTTTCTTCTCCAATGAAGCATAGAGGACATATCTACTATCAAAAGAGAAATATGTTGGTCTCTAACACCATTTGGATGAAGGCTGTACAATATTTCACATCTTAAATGTAGGTATCAAGTTCATTTTAAGTAGAAAATGCACATCACTCATTGCTTTTAGTCCGTATTAAATTCAAAATTGGAAAAAGATCAATTTCCATTCTTTCAAAAAAAACACATCCAAAATTGATGTTGACTATATCATTAAATTTCTGCATGTTTGGCTAATCACTTGATCATATGAAAATAAAGAGAACTATTGAAACCTAGAAAGATAATTATTTGATGAAATTGTGCGGATATTTTATTAGAATCATAATTGATGAAATAAGGCAAAATATCATTTTTAATCCTTTAATTTTATCCCTGGATCCATTCTGATCTCTTATCTTTAAAATGTTTTAAAGTGGTCCTTTAATTGTTCAAAAAGGACCACAATAGTCCTTTCCGTCCAAAAGGCACAAACAGACGTTTGTTTTATATATGTGACAGCTAATATGAAAATAAATGACCATCATTTCCTACTACATGAACACCATATTCCCTAATATCATCTTCTCCAACACCATCCATACTAACATCATCTTCCCTAACACCATCTTCCCTTCCATCGGTTTCATTCAACATCTCTTCAAGCACAACTTCTGCCTCATCAACTATCACATTAAGGGGTACCTCATCTAACACAACTTCAGTCTCATCAGCATAATCAGGCTTTGACAACGTGTGTTGAATAAAGACTTCAACACTAAGATGAACCCTATATAGATCATCAATCTCTAATACCCCTTGTCATTAACCAACATATTAATCCCAGCAGTAGGATCTCTATAATATATATTCTCTACATCTCTGTAACCTAGCTCTTTAATAGCACCTATCAATTCAAAATAGCTCCACTTATCAACATCTATTCTCAAATCAGCAATCTCACCTCCTTCGTAAACACTCATATCCTTAGTAACAAATTCGCCACTACGGTGTTTGTAATGTTCAAATATTCATTCATTTCAGACTATGTCCTAAATGGACAGGAAGATATTAGATTTCAGAAAGATTGATTTCAAAAAACCATAACTACGAAAATCATAGTTTTGCAGAAACTTACCTACGATGAGTAGTGTTGTGGTCGATTTCACCTTCAAAAACGGAATGTACATTCGCTTCGCTTGCAGCTTCTTCGCATAATGGAGCTACCAACAATGACTGCCCTAAAATTATGAATATTTTTGAGATGTAATGTGTAATTTGGAAAACAATCAATGAAATAAAAGTTATCTTTTATTTTTTATTTTCTTAAATAGTTTTTATTGTTTTTATTGTTTTTATTAGTTTTAGAAATTTTCTTTATTTTATTTAGAATTCTTAGTCAAACATCCTAACAATTGGTGCTTTGATCATTAAACTCTCGTCACCATCTATGAATTATTTCAAATACTCCATATATCCATATATTACCACTCTATCTCCATTTTATTCCAACATCAATAACACTCCATTTTCAACCCAAAATTCAAATATTCCGCATACCCCTAATATTCCTCTATATACACCACATCAACATCCATTATTATCACTCCCACATTCTGTCACCACTCATAACAACTTGCCGCACATATTAGTACAACATCAACCATTCACTCAAAAACAAATTTCTCCAAATGATTTTCAAGAACTTTTTCAAAATTGTATCTAGCAGAAGAAAGATACCAGAACTAAAAGAAAGTTATTGAAGAGAAATACCAATCATCTATTCTTTCTATCAAAAAGTGACCAAAAAAAAAAGAAAAATATGAGTTCAAGAGATATGCAGAAAAGTTGAAAGCAAAAGAAGATATAAATTTTTTTTTCTGATTTACAAAAATCATCTCCGGCAACATTTCCAGCCACGACAACACTTCCGCCAACATGTCCGACGACTTTTCCGGTAACATGTCCGGCGACTTTTCCGGCAACATCGCCACTCTCGACAACATCATCAATTCCGGCAAGGTATCCGCCGACTCTTCTGATGACAAATTCGACGTCATCTCTGACGACATCTCCTTCAATGACTCTGGCATCACTTCCGACAAGGATTTCGGCGTCACTTCCGACGAAATCTTTGATGTCAGTTACGACGACACATCCGACGGTAATACCTCTACTCAAATCATCTACATTTTACTAAATCTTTGATATCTCATATCTATCATCGAAACCATCAAGTCTTCTACTAGAAGAACCTGATCCACTACCGGAATCACCAAAATTGTTATCAAAATCTTCAAAACCGCCATCTAAACCACCAAATATGCAACGGGTATTGTCAGTACCATTAGATCCACCACCGTTCATCATTCCACACCTCCGACCACCTTCAAAACCACCAGATTTCCATTTTTTATTTTAATATTTTCTACTATTTAGTTTCTATTATCTTTATGGGAAAAAAGAACAGAAAAGAGAATTAGAAATAATGAAGAAAGAGTAAGGGAGAAAGAGAAAGAAAAGAAAAGAGAAAGGAAGAAGAAAAGAGGAGTTAAAAAATATACAATTAATGGGTGGGGTTTGGAGCATTACACTTAGTGAATATGAACATTCCTATTACCACATAATTTTGAAATTTTTATCTACACACCACCTTTTCACCAACTAATTTCTAAAGTACCATTCTTTTCAACTAATATTTCCAATATACCACATTTTTAAAAAAAAAATTTGAAAGTAGGAGACTCCGCCCAATGGATGGGCGGATGGTCTTTAAGTTATACAGCTTCCGCCCATTGCATTGGCGGAGCTGTTGAAATAACATTTTTTTTAATATAATATTAAAAATAAATAAAAATTACTATTAAATAAAAAATCAATATTAAAATTAATATTTAAAAATAAGTTTAAATTAAAATAAATGTTAATCATAGTAATAAATAAAAATGGTTCTGTCACTGTAATGGGCGAATGGTTTTATTATTTAAGTATGGTTCCGCCAGTGTAATGGGCGGAGGCTCTTGTTATTTTATTATTGTAGTACGGTTCCGCCACTGCAATGAGCAGATGGTTTTATTGGTTTTATTATTTTATTATTTAAGTACGGTTCCGCCAGTGCAATGGACGGAGGCTTTCTTTATTTTATTATTTATGTACGGCTCTGCCACTGTAATGGGCGGAGGGTTTTATTATTTTATTATTTTAAAATTTTTGCTGTGAACTATAAATATCGTTGATGTCGAATGATCCTAGCTACACTTAAAATATTTTTCTTTAGTTGTATCTTAAAAATGTCTTTAACATCCGAAGAGTTTCCAACGTTTCCATATATGAAAAGAGACGTTGAACTGATTTTTTCTCCAGTAAAGCCTCCGATGAAGATCAAATTGTTGAACACGCAGACATTTGAGCATTTGCATAGGTACTTGGAGGGATGGTTAGGGGAATAAATTTCCCAAGGTGAAAAGATCCGGAAAATTGAGAAGCTAGTTACGGTGCCTGGCTTAAATGGACCCACTCGTTCTTGGAGACTTGTTCACAACGACGCATGTGTTCTTATGATGATGCTTCAACAAAAAGATATTGTGTTGCTGGTTGTAATATCCTAGAAATGCTTATGTCTTTGTTTGAACATGTTGATGTTGTTTAGGTTTAATGTTGTTGCTAAGTTCTACTATTCGTCTTAGTATTTTAATTTATGTGTTGTTTTTTCGAATTGTGATTTATATTAAATGCAGAAGTATTAGTGAAATGAAATATAATTTCTTGGCGTCATTATACATACAACTTTGAAGATTGATAACAAAATGAATAACTAATTATTACTAGTTCCTACATTTGGGCATCGCGTTCGGTTGTGACCTGGAAGACGACACAATGTGCATTTTCTCTCCAACTTATCATATGCGTCCATTTCTGTTGTAATACGGGTGCTCACAGGACGACCTTTCTTGTTCCTCCACATAACTGGATTATGGCAAATTTGATCTCCCTCATAAGTGGGTCAATACTCATCGTATGGTAAAACTGGAAAGCTCGTGCTGTAAACCCTAAATAAGTTTGCCACCTTGTAAACGTCAGACAATAGAAGAAATGCGTCTTGGCGCACCACAGAACATGCATCGATAACATGTGAACAAGGAACACGATATGCTTGAAACTTTCCGCAGTCACACCATCCTTCCATTAGGTTGACCTTGTAATGCCCAAATGGCTTCCCCTCACCGTGGTTAATTGTCTCCTTCACACTAAAAGTGTTATTATTATAGTAAAAAATGCTTACCTGATGCGTGGAGGATTTTGACGTCTCTTCTTTCATCACCTTCATGCACTGCTCTGTAAATGTTTGTCCAGAATTCAAAACTGCACTCCACTTTGCACCCCTTTCAGCAAAGAGTGTTCCCATCCTATAGTATGTTGCACTTACTAACGCAGTGATGGGGAGATTACGAGTGCCTTTAAATACAGAATTTAGTGACTCGACAAGGTTTGTTGTCATGTGCCCCCAACGACGACCCTCGTCAAATTCCCTCGTCCATTTTTCAACTGGAATTTTGTCTATCCACCTCAAAGCATCACCATTAGCCATCCCAATTTGATTACGATAATATTTAAACGTTGGTTGGTTCAGCGCATACCCTACATGTTGCAAAAAATATTGGTTAGTATATCAACGAGCATGTAATGTTTGCATAAAAGGTACTTACCCATGTTGATTATTTTTTTTCCGGAGGATACGGTCCTTGATATCCTTCATAAAAGTTTGCGCAATATGCCTGATACAATACAGATGGACAGATGTAGTGTTATTCCAACCATTTTCAGGATTGTTATAAGCGCTTTCGATAGATGCATGTCGGTCAGAAATCAAACACAAGCCAGGTTGAGGAGCTACATGCATTCTCAAGTTTTTTAGAAAGAAACCCCAACCATCCGTCGTCTCACCTTCAACTAGGGAAAAGGCAACTGGGAAAATATTGTTGTTTCCGTCTTGTGCTACAGCCATTAGTAGTGTATCTTTGTACCTTCCATATAACCAGGTACCATCAATATGTAGTAAAGGCTTGCAATATGCAAAGCCACGTATGCATGGTTGGAAAGCCCAAAATAGTCGGTGGAAGATTTGTTTCCCAGTAATAACAATCCCGTCATTTGTATATAACGGTAGTGTTTGCATTTCTACTACAGTGCCTGGAACAAACTTCTTAAGGGCCAACAAGTAATTTGGAAGTTCATTGTATGAATTTTACCAATTACCAAACACTTGTTCGATTTCTTTATTTATAGCAATCCATGCCTTCTTGTAAGATGGAGTGTATTTGAAAAAAGAAACAATTTCGTTAATACATACACTCACCTTGATAGAGGGATCCTTTTCAACAAGAGGCATTAATCATTCACTCATCAGTCGAGAGCTTAGTTGTCGATGATTCTGATTAAAGAGGGTCGTTGAACAATTATATGGGGGCTCCATGATTCCTATCTCCCATAGGTCTCTCCTTTTTCTATAGGATGCCACTAGACGAAAGTTGCAACCAATACGCTTACAACAAATTTTATATCTCTTCGTGTCAGAACATGTAACCCTGAAATCAACGACATGTTTCATATGATACTTGGATATCACAAAGACACAGTCAGGTTTGTTTTTGAACTGGTTCCCAACAACTATGTCATCCTCCAGCAGAAGACGAGGATTATGGGGCCATTCAAATGATGATTCATCTCTAGTTGTTCCCAGAGTGGTCACGTGGGCAGGTGGACAATAGACATTCTCAAGTGGAATATGTTGTTCAGTTTCGTTGATTGCATCCGCCTCGTCACGGCCACCGTCTTCGAATAAGGTAGTGAACAAATCATCAGCTTATGACTCAGTCTCTTCTTCTTCGTCATCTTCGACAACGACTTCGTCGGGAATTATGGACACGGGCTCAGCCTCATTGGGATTGGCCACTTGTGAGATTTGAGATTGTTGAAAAATTTGAAATTTTATGTATAAATCTATTGCATGTAACCCAGATAATTCATGATTGTAAAACATCATTTCCACATCATCATCATCTCGGATTTTCAATGGAACATATTTCACCTGGTTCACACTGAAATTAACAGCATTTTGATATATAATTTGTGAGACAGCTCCAGATTGCATCCTTGTTTGTATCCTCTCTCTCAAATATTCGAACTTCGCATTTATACTTAATTTGAACCGACATATATCGGTATTTTCGAATATAATGCCCATATCATCAGAGACAAGGATCTCTCAATTGTAATGAGCATCCACTACATATCGAGGTGCTTGATACATGATGATTTCTTTGTGAACAAGAGTTGAATTGTAGGAAAAATTTATTTTTGAAATGGGTTGAGTTGATGAAAAATTGTAGGAACAAGAACTGAATTTAAATGAAATATATTTTTTCTTTTTTAAACATTAAACGTATGAATATTGACTGTTCAATGGTCAAACTGACAAAAGCAACCCATCCGTCCATTGCAGATGCAGTGGCATTTATGTATGTAAAGGCTCTGCCCAATGGGAAGGCGGAAGCATTGATGTGGGTATGGGCTCCGCCCAATGCTCCTGCGATATTGGCAGGTCAAATAACACTCTTCCGCCCATTAATTACATAGATGGCAGACCAAAAAACAATGCATCCGCCCAACGCATCAGCGGCGTGTCAGAAAAAGACAATGGTTCTGCCCATTAAGGATGCAGATTCTGTAAAGTTGTGCATGCAACACAGTCTACGTATAAAGCATGCATGGAAAATTTATTACTCCCAACCATTTACTTGTTTCCATTAAATATTTTGCATAAAACCATTCATTTTTTCTCTATAAATACTATTCGTTTTTTCATAATTTACATCAAACTCAATCTTTATCCGCTCTTTCTCATCATAATTCTACACCAAACTCAATTTTCTATAATGTCTCTGTTAACTTATGGAGAGGAGCATCGAGGAACATTGTCAAAAATACTCCAATATGTAAGTATTGAATATATTTACTTATAAAGTTTTTTAAATTTTTAGAATATACTTCTGACATTAACCATCTTCTAATATTAACTATTTTCTTTTTTAGAATGAGAAAAAGTTTAGGCCTCGTACACACTCGTTTGTGCCCGTAGACCAAATGATTCATCCATATCTGATGCAAGCAGGCTTTGGGCACGTTATCAACATAACGTCATATGGAGTTGATAGAAAATTTATTCTCGCTTTATGTGAAAGATGGCGTCCGGAGACACACACATTCCATCTTCCTACCGGTGAATCCACAATCACCCTTGAAGATGTCCACATGTTGATGGGTTTACGTGTAAGCGGTGTGGCAGTGAATGGGAGAACAAATGTCGACTACTCCATAACTCAAGAACTCTTGGGTGAAGAATTACCCGAAAGATATAGAAAGGGACAATTCGGCAAAATTATTTGGCTCCGGGAAAAATATGATGCATTTTACTTGAACGAAGATTCCACCATAGAACAAATTTATAAGAAAACTAGAATTTATATTTTATTCTTATTCACTAGTTTATTATTTCCTGACACTAATGGTAACACAATACATCTTATGTATTTACCATTATTAGCTAACTTTAATAAAATAGATAGATACAGCTGGGGATCTACAGTTTTATCACATCTATACAGAAACCTCTGTAGATACGCCAGAAAAGATGTTCATAATTTTGCTGGTTGTTCAACACTACTACAAGCTTGGGGATGGTCCAGGATACTGAATCTAGCGCCTAGGAATCGTAATCCTTTTCACTTTCCGTACGCAACCAAGTAAGTTGTAACTACTCCTTTGTCTTAAATTTATTTACTATGTGAACAATATTTAAGTATTATTTATTTTTAGATGGTCTGCCTATGGGATGGATTACGAAAAGACTCCTCATCATTGTGCACCTGACTATCGGACTTTCATCGATCATTTCAAAGAAGCTGATGTAATATTCTTAACCATAGATTACTAATAATTACTATTATTTTATATAGTTCGTTAAACTAATAACTGATTTTTTTAACAGTTTACATGGAGGCCCTATCTAGGACTTGATGATACCGATCCGACTGATAGTCACGTGTGGAGTGCAAAAACATTTATCATCTGTTTTACTACAATTGAAATGCATCATTCTGATCGGGTAAAACTCCAATTTGGCATTATGCAAGGCATACCGGATGCTCCACAGTGTATGGAGGAGTATCACAAAAGTGTGGTGAACGACCAATGGACATATAGCAATTGGAAAGATTGTTACAAACAAGAGCGTCGTCAATGGCATAACCGCGAAGATAAAGTCTTACAAGGAGATGTCATGTCAGAAGAATGTAAACCGAGTAAGGAATACATGGAATGGTATAAGTCTGTTACAAATTTGTATTTGTCACCAAACAACTTCTCAAGCACTTACACCCAACAACCATTCATGAGCAACCAAGAACCTTTCTTCCCAACACAACCATCTTTTACGCAACAACCTTTCTTCCCAACACAACCACCTTTTACCCCAAGCCAACAATACCATCAACAAAACCCTTCATCTAACCCCACCCAATGGGGAACCCAACAACAATATCCTTCATCTAACCCCACCCAATGGGGCACCCAACAACAATATCGTTCATCTAACCCCACCCAATGGAGAACCCAACAACAATATCCT